CATGGCCTGCTCGACAGCTCGGGCTCTTCGGGTAGGTGACTCGTAGGGTGGAGTCTCCGCGCAAGACGACGTCGAAGCGCTTGTTTTGTCCTTTGCGGCTGCCTCCTTGACGTTTTCGCAGATTTCAAGAATGAGGTTCCGGGCCTCAGGACCGGGGAGGGCGCGACTGTTGGTCAAGATGAAGAAGCCTCGCGACTCCCTCTCGAACTGGCTCTGCAGGGTCTCGACGTCCCAAACCATCAGCACGTCAATGTCGTGGCAAGTCTGTGTGCCAGTCGGATCATCGTCCAAGACGACTAGGACAGGGGCTTCGCCGCCATCAACATACTTCTTCGTCGATTCCAGGACATCATACGGAAATTCGGCAGGCAGAGCCTCGATCGTCTCCTTGGCGGGCAAGGGCTGGGCCGCTGCCCGTAGGGCCTCGTTGGTGGTGTGTGGTTCGGGCCTCCCAGCACTGCCTGAGACAGACACACCGGCGCCTTCCCACCACCGAACGACGCCTGCATCAGCCTCCTTCGACCAACCCTTGGCAGCTCCTGCGAGATAGAGTGTGTGGGCAGCCGATGACATGGGCGCAAAGTACATCAATCGTTTCGTCTCATCAAGCACAATGCCGAGATCCTTGACGAAGATGGCGAGAGCAGAGTGCGGCGTCCAGTCCGCCTCGAGCATCTGCGGCACTCTGTTCTCAAACATCCAGCTCCACGCAGCCGCGTTTTTCAGCAACTCGAAGATCTGACGTGTATCAAGACCAAGTCGTGCGGCGAATGCCATGGCTTCGGCGGCGGCAGCAATGTGTACACCAGCGAGGAGTTGATTGATAAGCTTGACCGAGGAGGCGGCACCAACACCACCCTTGACCTGGCACAGATTGGTAGCAAGGCCGGTCATGGAGAGGAGGACGCCATTGGCCTTGGAGATGGTGGACTCCTCGCCGGAGCAGATGATGGTGAGGTTGCCGTTGGCGGCGCGCACGACACCTCCGCTGACGGGCGCATCGAGGAGGGTGATGCCGCGTCCCAGCCCAGCCAGGCGTTTCTCGAGAGATCGAACAAACGATGGGGGCACAGTTGAGCTGAGTATGACAATCGCATCGTCGGGCAGGGCGGCGGCAGCGTCGCCAGAGCCGAACAAGGCATCTGTAGCCTGCGTGGCATTCTGTACCATGAGAACCAAGACCTCAGCGCCCCTGGCGGCATCGGCGGGCGAAGTCGCTGCGGATGCCTTGCCACCGCCGGAAACAAACTTCTGAATCGCAGGCTCGTATACATCGTAACCATGCACGGCAAAGCCGCCTCGAATCATGGAGCTAGCCATGCCCTGGCCCATGGCGCCAAGGCCGATCATACCCACCTTGGAGATCTCCAGCGGTGTTGTGACGGGCGTCGGGTTCGCAAGCGCAGCTGCCGGTGCAGCAGAATCGCTGTCCTTGGTCGCGACAGGTGAATTTTGCTGGAAGACGCGAACGAGGCCAGAATCATCTTCGCGACCGTAACCCTGCGCAGAGCCCCAGATGTATAGTGCTCAG